AGAAATGACGACTTCATGTCACACCCACAGTGGCAGAACTACAAAAGTGTATAATGTTTGCCACTTCTTTAAATGGTTGTCAGGCTAATCAGACAGGTTTCATCTGTGTTTTAGAGGAGATACTGTCTTACAGTCCTTAAGCTTTGGAGAATAAGAGCATGAATTTTGGCTTAAGGGAGATCGATTTTATTTCACATTGATCTAAGCAGCTGTTTCCAGGTTTGCAATATATGACCAGAAGAAAGATGCAGAATAGAAAATACAGTGGGGTCGTCCCCATCCTGGTTTCTGGGTTACTGAAAGGTGACATCAGGATAGCTATTAAACGTGTGTTCCATCTGGAAGGAAGACAGAAAGAAATCTTAATAGAATAAAAATTGTATTTCTGACCTAATGTGAACTTTTGTGGTTTGTAAAGCAATTAAATTAAAATATCTGTTTCCAAAATACATAAAGATTTGTTTGTGAAGATATGTCATTCTTTAAACATCCCTGATATTTATTCCCAATTTAGGCAGCTGAAAAGTGAAACAAGTCCATTTTTTAGCTACTTGAAAAATTTTTGTAGGAGTTAGAAGGTGGAGGAGGTTTCTAAGGTAACCTACCAATAAATAAGTTTATTTCCAAAATAAGGAAAATTAAATTTCAAGGACATGCTGTAACTTCTAGTAGGACTAAGTTGAAAAGCAGTACTTTGAGGTTTAGCTGTAGTGCATCTGCATTTGTTATCTGCATTGGTTTCTTGGAATGTTTTGTATAGGAATATATTCCTTCCTTCTTTTTCAACCTAAAAGTGTTACCTTGGGATAGGTGAGTAAAGATATTTCTATAAGACCTTTTCAAAAGTTAGTGAAAATAAAATACTGTTTACATGAGTGATATCAGCTCAGGCTGTTTCTGCATTTATGTCCATCTTAACTAATTTTGTTCCAAAAAAAAAGGAATCATAATCTCTTTGTCACTTTGTGACTTTTAGATTATGTATGAATATTTATGTATAGCAAAAATTATCTGCTAGTGAAAAGGAAGCTCAGGAATGCAGGGCTGAGGTTTTTTGATTGTCTCAGGAAGAGTGGAAAACTTCCAGATTATTTTATAGTAGTAATGTTGGAGATGTGTGTCACATCTTCATTTTGATCACATCAAAATTTTGGTATTGTGTGGTCTAATGATTGCTATAAATTCTTAGGTAGCTCGTGTAAATTAGTGCATGTAAAGTAAAAACTACCTGTAATTCATGAGACCTGAGGCATCATAATTTACTTCTCTAATGCTCTAATTAAAATACTACATCAAAAATATATTAATGGTTTTATTTTTTGTGTATATTAATAGGTGCAAATAGTTGTATGCCTCTGTCGCAATAAGGAAGAGTTTGCATGAAACAGCTCTATTTTGTTTGGTGCTCATAGATGTGTCATGATGTTGGTGTTTTTCTGCAGTCAGGCATAGTACATTATTCCTGGTTCTCTTCAGTATACTAAATATTTTTAGTAGATTTCAGTGACTTTGATCCAACAGAGGTCATCTGCATGTGCTTGCAAACTAAGTGCATCAGATGCCTCTAGTGATTTTCCATGTCCCTGTTTTCTTCTGTCCCAGTTGAGGTTCCTTCAAGGACCTGGATCGTGACTTTTAAGAACTTCTGAATAGCCTCTTTCTGGAAGTCAAACCCTTCCTTTATCAGCTGGAGGAAATCTGAATTCTCAGTCCTTTGAATTACTCTGGCTCTTCCCCACGATGGGCATTGCCAAATGTGGATGCCACCCCAAGGGTGCTGCAGCCCCAAGAGCAGATGCTGCAGGGCAGGCTTAGCCCAAAGCCTGCACCTTCATTAGCTCATCAGTGCCTGCTTGCCAACAAGGTGGCCATGGCGGGAGGAAGAGATGACAAGCATTGCGTTCTATTTTGGGGAATTTCGGAATTTTGAGGATCGGGGAGTGGTTGTTGGAAGGTTGATTGGGCAAAGGAGGCTTGTTTGCAGAGAGTGAAACTGATGTGGTGACTGTTGTCCTGCAATGGAGAGTAGCTTGGGGTCCAGACATGCTTGGGTAAGATCCTCCCGTGTGCTTGACTATGTGCAATGGGAGCTTTCAGCAGCTGAGGAGAAAAATTCCTGAAGAACTTAGAGCAGATGAGAAAGGGGTTAAAAACAAGTGTGAAAAGTTGGATCATGGTACTTGGTGTCTTGAAATGAAGCAGGATTTTTCTGGAAGGCTTTAGTCACCTGGGAAAGAAGGATTGGGTAACCATGTGGGAGGCAATTTGCAGGCAAAGTGTACTCCTCTGCAGTAGATCAGTACATTTTAATGAGGTAAGTATATTTGCTCCGTTTTATAGGATTTGCTTTGGACTAGGAGTCTGGAAGTAATTTTAAATAGAGTGCTTTGAGGTATAATGGTCAGGTGGAAATATTTGAAGCGTATAATATGGAAACCCTGTATTTACAGCATATTTGTAGGGTCTCAGAAGCTGAGCTGAAAAGACTGCCTCTTTTCCAGAAGAGATTTTAAAGAGTAAATAAAGCTCGTACAGAGGATGTAAAAACAGAAGTGAAGTTAGAAACGGCTGTAGCTATGCAATTTTATTTACTGTTTTATTTACTTATTTATTTACATCTGCAGCTGTCTCTCAATCCATCCCACCCTGCAGGAAAGGATGCTTTTAGGCTGACATCTTTCTCCTCTTACTGTTCCCTTCCCATAGGCTGTGTGGGACTGAACAGGGCTATTTTTCAGATGTAGGTTCCTCGCAGAGATGACTTTCTGGGCAGATGGGAATTCCCATCTGCTGATGGTGAGGAGGGGAGGGTGGGCTTGCGCTGCTTGGCCCCTGCACCTGGAGCGGCGAGGGCTGAGTTTGTGCATTGCTGTACATGCACCCAGCAAAGAGGGTGGGAGAGCTGAGTTCCTCTTGCCTCAGGACACTGCCAGTTATCCAAGGCTCACTCGTTCCATTGAGAAGGCAATGCCTTTCTATGGACAGAGGTGCCAGCAAGTGAGATGCATTCAGCTGATGCCCTAAATATTGATCAAGCATAAGCCTCAAGTTTGAGAAATGTTCAATGTTTTCTGGTATTTATCATTTTGACTTTTCCAGTTTTTTTCTTTTGCTTGTAGTCATGCTCTCTGTTATGTGTGTCCACTTTTTCCTTCTACTTGGTTAGTTTGATATCTTGTCCTTTCTTGAGCTTGTTTTTTGCTTTCCTTCTGCTGTAGGAACAGAGAGTTTATAATAGCCATAGCATAACTTCAAAAGGTGGATCTGCAGTGTTTTAAACAGTCATTACATAAGTTGTTAAAATAACAGACAAAATAAACATGTCCTCATGGTGGAGAAATAAATTCCAAGGACAATATAAGCATCTGCCAATCTCTAGTGTTGCTCCTTCTTTTCTTCCAAGACTTTCTGCAAATGTTTTTCAGGCCTCCTTTACCAACTCCTTTTCTCTAAAGTTTTGAAAACTTCTTAAAGAAGGTTTTTCTCTTTCTCTCTACACGGAGTATAATTGAAAGAATAAAGCATTTTGGGGTTATTCAGGACCTCTATAGCCACATTCAGAGCTTAACTCTAATAATTTTCAGTAGTAGTTTGTTCTGAAAATCTTGCCTTGTCTTTTCCATCCCCCGAAAAACATCACCAGCAGGTCACAGGCAGTTGCTGAGGAGCGGAGTGTCACCTACTGAGGCTCCTCGCAGGGGTGGCATGCAAGGTTGGGAAACCCAGAGACATTAAAAGTGAACTCACTGTGCTGCCAAGATATTTCACTACAAACTTTGTCTTTTGAGAAAAGTTTTTAATTCTGAGAAGATGTGGGGAGGGACTGACAAACAATTTAAGAAAGTTTTGGAATTCAGATATTTAAACAACATTTTGACAGGATTATGAAGTGAATAATGGTATTGCAGCCAATTTACACAGAGCCAAACTGAACTATGGAAAAGCCATTTGTTAAGTTTCACAAATTTATGACTGACCAAGGGACTCTGATGATTAAGTAGCCATGTTGAGGTGTTAAAAGATTACAAACAAATTCTGTGTTTAAGTTGACGTACTGCTTCAGCAATTAGGTTTGAGGGTGGAGAGACTCAGTCATATAATAAAGGAAATAATAATTTGTCTAATCATTCTTCGTTCAATTTTAGAAAGCTTTAGCTGGAAATACTCAGTTAAGGTTTGACTTGCCTGTAATGATATAGCGTAAAATGGACTCCCAGCTTTAAAACAAGTTGGAGCGTGTGAGGCTCTAGAGTAAGGGCTGGAGGAGAGGAGGAGCCAGCAGGCAGGGTCGAACCTACAACTGTGTATGTGTTGTGTGTTTTGTACAATAGAGCTATGGCTTCACTGTCACCAAGGACGGCTCTGATTCCTCTTTCAAATAATTCTGAAATAAGCTTGCCAGCAGATATTTCTGGATTGAGTTGCCTGGGATAGCAGCAAGGAAAGGTACATTGTGCCAGGCGGCTGCATGGAGGAAGCAATGTTGAGCAAAGACTCTAAAAGTCTTGCAATCAAATTATTATGTTGCATGAGAAAATACCAGGCAGTGGAAAGCTGTGTTTTTCAGGAAAAACTGCACAATCTTTTTAAAATTGCAGACTGGTTCTTTCTCTGGGAAGCTAATGTTTATAAGCTGAGTAGCTTTTTGCAAGACTTCTGTGCCTTTTCCATGAAAGAACCATAAATTCAGTTAAAAATTAAGTGAGCATGCTTCTAGGTAACATTCGTACTTACAGTAAATTATATATATTGACTGGTATGAATTTTGAAGACAGTCTTCATTACGTATCATGTACTGGAAACTGTCAGCAGCCGTGTGTTCAGTATATTTTACTGTAATTCTGCTAATAAGTGTTTTTTGCTTTTCTTCTTTAAAGATGGAATCTATCATTCTGCAAAAGTATAAAAGCATAAAAGTTGGGGGAAGGAGTAACACATATAGATTGGGGATTGAAGAGATTGAGAAATGTTCTCTTATTTGTTGCATTTCCAATTTTCAGGAATTCTTTGAACATGCAAAAAAGCTCTGGGATGATGAAGGCGTAAAGGCGTGCTTTGAGAGGTCGAATGAGTATCAGCTGATCGACTGTGCACAGTAGTAAGTATTTCTTTTTATGGAATTAATAGCCAAGAATGTAGTCATTTATAATGAGTTAGAAAATATATTTGTATTAGCAAGATCTGGAAGTTTTGCAATGCAGCGATTAGCATTTTAATTCTCTATATAGGCTGAGGATGTATAGCAAAAGTAACTGATGGTTTTATCATGGTTTGCCATTATTATACAACTAAATATTCTACCTCAAATATTTAACAGCTAATAAAGATGAGTATGTAAAAGCTCAAATTAAATAATTTTAAGTATCTTTATTCCATTTGAAATAGATTTACATAAAATCATTTCAGTTGAAACTAAGTTTAAAAAAAATGCAGAGTCAATCAAAGGAAAACGCTTTCGTTTTAATTCTAAGACCCAGACAGTACTGAAATTGCTTTGTGTTTTCACATTCTGTTAAAGCTTCTGAGATTTTTACCTAACCAGATGCATACCTGCGTTACTAATATATTTTCTAGAGGAAAAAACTGATAAGCAGTATTTCATTAAAGACAGTAGTATATTTGGTATTCTCTCCTTCATAGACATCAAGTTAAGTGGTACGTACGTCCGTAACAGAGTCATAATTCTTAAATGGGTTTATCTGATTGGAAATGTTCTGAAAAGCACTGTGTAATAGATTGTGAAGATGCAAATCATAAATACATTGTACATTGACGAAACAGATTAATCAGGGAATAGTCCATCAACACGCCAGGGCTACAAAACTCAGCCATCCTTTGTAATAATCCAGCTCTGAATTAGACTTTGACCAAAAATATACATCTCATGTCAACTGCTGTTGCGAAAACTTATACTCTTACAGTTGCTATGTAATTTAGGGTTTTGAGAGAACACACTCCAGTGTGTTATGATTTGTCTAATTGGCAGTGTGGTCAGCAGCAATGCCGCAAGTCTGTTGTAGTGCTCAATGTTGTGCTTTTCTGTCCTCTCCGCTCTCGATGCCAAGGCAGAAGCAGAGGAAAGCGACCGTGTCGCTAAAGGACTTCTCACGCTTCTGCCAGAGTGGGGAATTTCGGTGCTGTGGGTCATAATCTAGAAAGAATGGGGGGAAAAAAACCTATTTTTGGGAAAGAGAAGGATCCAGTAATGATTCATCAGCGCATGGAAACAAGGGAAAATTACATACTTGTAGGAAGGACATCATTTGACCTCAGCAGACTGATTTTACCAAAACTCGGGCGTTTGCTCACAGTACAGACTGGCTAGAAAGGAACGCAGTGCTTGTACACAAAGAAAACCTAGAAAGTAGTCCTAAATTGGGATCAGTAGGTTTCCCCTCTGCGCTCACCCATCACCACCACCATAGTATACAGATCTGAACTGTGCTTGCTGAAAAGTCCAGACTGACTGTTTATGGTATCTATTAGTACACTCAAATAAGACATCAGACCAAGAAAGTAGAATAATGACATATATTTACAATAAGTGAATGAAAAACTTATTTTACTGATCAGTAAAGGTCAATGTGTCTCCCGGTCCTTCTTTGAAAAATAGGGCTGAAAGGACCAGGCGAAATATTAGGAGAAAGTTCTTCAATATGAGGGTGGTAGACCACTGGAAGAGGTTGCCCAGAGAGATGGTGGAGGCTCCATCCCTGGAGGTGGTAACAACCTGATCTGGTAATGTTTTCCCTGCTTATTGCAGGGGAGTTGGACCAGATGATCTTTAAAGGTCCCTTCGAACCCATACATTCTATGATTCTATGAAAAAATAAGACACTGAATTATAGTATTAATGTTACTGTGCTTTCCTTAAAAAAAAAATACCTATCTATAAGCCTTGACGAGGAGAAGAGTGTTAAGTCTCATGTTATGTCCAAAACCAAAACACAAATGGGGAAAAAATTGGATCTAGAATAAAATCCACTGTCCCGAAACATAAAACTAAATACTACTATATTTTTTCTTAAAAAGCTTTAAGGAAGGTTATTGGTTTTTTTCTATGCATCTTCCTTCTGTATCTTCTAACCAGCTTGCTCTTTCTTTATTCTGAGATTATTCCATGTAGTAGTAAATATAATGGTTGCATAATTCTTAACCTTCAAGACACTTTATGAAATATTATTTGATACTTAAATATCCCTTGAGTGTAACTGTGCTTTCCATTTCATGATTTACCTGAAAATGTAGCAGCTCAGTGGCTTATGCATGTTTATAAGCCTTCAGTCTTAAAGCACAGACTTGACACTTGGGAACAGCCCTGTCATTGATCTGCTTAAACAGCCTTTTTCTCACAGTTATTGATGATTTAAAATGGTGAAGTGTAATCTTTAACAGAAAGGAGATACTAAAAATACACCCAACTTTTATCTACCCCTCCATCGTTCCTTGAAAATTAAAATGCTACTAACAGAGTCAATGAAAATGAGATTTAATAGTTGCTGCATGCGTGTGTTTATATATTGTTACTTTATCCAGAAGGACATTTCTGTGATAGCATTACATGAACATTATTCAGAGTGGTGGGGTCATATTTGCCTTGTAACCGAAGCGTGTGAGACTAGGTTAGAAATGCAGTTCTGGTACGCACATGTGTTTTCGTATGGGCACTTACAAAATACTAACTGTGAGGGTGCCGTCTTCTTTGACTCAGCAGGAGCAGATGGTGTTTCTCTCAGAACCTGTCCATGGTCATTTGTAATAGGTAAAGGAAAAAAGGGAAGGAGTGTAATGCTGATATAACATGCTTACTGTGGGATTTTTGAAACATCTGGAGTGTTTTCATTACACTGGCTTGGGGAGAAATCATCCCCCGCTATATCCTAGTCTTTTACTTCAATAGTTAAAGAACCTTATCAGCAGGTCACCACTGATTTCTCTGCTTAAAAAAAAACCAAAGCAAACCCCAAAAAAATCACAGCATTTGTTGAAATTATTGGATTACAAGTTGGTTGACTGACTTAAAATACTGAAGAGCATTATTAGCAAATAACAGTCAGCTGCTGACTTTATAAAGTGAGTTACATATACAGTGTATTTCGGAATAGTTTAATTTGGCTACAATACAGAGCTTCTGTATTTTTAAAACTTAACCTAATTTTCTTTATTACTGTGGGAGAAATCCTTTGCTGGAAATAGAGGTAGTAGGAAGACACAAAGACAAATGTTTTATTTACATTAGGCCTGAAAGTTGCTTTTTCATGATCTTTAATTCCCTTTTTAAAATTACCAGGATACCGTTCCTTCACGGAAATGACGATTACGGCCGTCTTGGCAGACTATTTTGATATTCTTAAATGATTCTCCAAGTATCTGCACTTCTCCTGAGTGTTGTGTTGGTGCATCGTGTGATATTTGTAACACATACAAATCTGTGACCAAGTATGAGGTCAGACCTTGTGGTCTTGACAGTGGTAATTGCATCAGAAGCAAAGATCTCAATTGTTCTTTATCACTACCTACGGAGATATTTATGTAGCTCTTGGAGGTGAAGTTTTGCATTGCCATCAACCGTATTTTTCCCTTAATGACCTTCTTTTATTTCTTCGAGAGTAATGTCATAATTGGCAGATTATTGTTTTTCCGGTCTTCTGATTTAATATTTCTGTAAAGTTAATTTTCAAGTTTAATTTTAAAATATTATATTACATTTGAAAAGTTGAGTTGATTTAGTTGTGTCCTTGTTTGACTTACCTAGATTTCAGCAGGTTGGTTTTGTTTATGATGATAAATCTTATACCTTATTTTGGTTAACTTTAACTTATTTTGAACTACTGTGATTATGTCTATATTCACACACTTTATATTCAGCAAATTCTACGTCTATAAAGGACTTTCAGATTGTGATTTAGTGCTGTCTTGTCATTGAACTGTCTAGTATATAAATAATTTCTCAAAATATGTTCATTAAAAATTCCTTGTAATTCTGGGATAGTTTTCTAAAAGCTAAATAAATTCCTATAACATGATTGCAACTCCGTTTTTTAAATATTTTAATTTCTTCATACTAGTTATCAAATACCCAAATTTTATTGAATCCATGGAAGGGAAATCCAAAGCAAACTTCTATGAATGTAGAACAGATCAAAACGAATAAAGGTCTGGGTATGATGGCCTTCATTTAAAAAAGACGCAGAAAAAGTTGATGAGCTGATTATGTGTCTTTATAAACCTCATCAATTTAAGTAAATTAATTTAATTGGAAAGGAAGAGGTATAAAATTTCCTTTTAACAGACAGCATACCATAACGTAGAGTTATGGGTTGTAACTACATGTTTGATATGTTATATATGTAAATGGGTTGACTTCGCCCTAATGCTGGTGAAATAGTTTCTGTATTATCAGCCTACTTTCTACAGTGCAAACCATACCGTTGTTGTGATAAAGTTGAGTTATCTTAGTTTTGGCTACTCACATGTCGGTTATTCAGTTGATGGGGTAAAATTAGTTGCAGGGATTGGAAATAAGATGTGGGGATACTTAGAACCCTTGAATACTGTCAGGGAAAGGTGGTAGTCTTACAGCAGAAGAGTAGACAAGCAGAACTAGGCACTTTTGAGAGGGGAGAAAAGAGGCAAAACAGTTTCTCTTTTTAGGTCACACACAGTTTGCTCAAGGCATCATTGTTAGAAAAAAAAAACCCTACTTTTAGGTTTGTTGGAGGGTTCCAAAGTTGAATTTTGTCCTATTGCATTCACATGAATTAAAAGCGTGTGCATGCATGGGTGGCCCTAGCTGGAAGGGTTGTACTTCAACTCACTGGGTTCCTCGGTGTAGGAAGAAAACCAAGGGTTTAAGGGAACCCTGTTCTCAGCCAATACTTTATCCCAGTTTGTCTGTCAGTCTCCTTTCCCTGATAAAATATGCCACTTCTGATAGACTTGAGTGTGAAAGCTGAAATTGGTCTCTATGCAAATATTTGGGCTAATAAAACTTGATCATGCAAGTTCTCAGGAAAGCAAACACAAGGGATGTGAGTTTGGCCAAAGAAAATGGATTTTATGTTTGAGCTAATATACATAGAAAAAACATGCCTCGAG